TCCCCAGTGTTGCGGGTTTGCATACCCAAGGGGGCCGTGGTGCCTTACGGGCAGATCGAGTTGGTAAACACGCAACACTGTTGTGTACTGCCTTCACAGACGGTAGGGCTCTTTACCTAGTTCAGTTCCTTGCCCCGTCGCGAAATTCGATTTGTAGTTTTTAGCTGCGTGATGTATTCTTAGGTGGACAGGAGCCAAATGGCCTCGGAGCGGAGGTAGAGACTAAGGAGATGAGGTACGGCCAGCTGAAGGGCCTGGCTGAAGATGACGGTGTCAGGATCCTGCAGAAGCTCTCCAGCCCCGAGCTGCAGGACATGTTCAACAGGCTCACCTGTGAGAGCGATCTCGATGGCGCCAGGATGTGCCTCGTGGTCAGGGTGCTGGCCAAGCTGTGCGTGGTCGAGTACCAACCCCTCGTCGCCAGCTTGTTCTGCCGGGTGTGTCGACAAGAGTTTCTCAACAGGCTGCTCCTGCACATCGTGCAGCTAAGCGTTTTGACTGACGATACGGCCGCCACAGCCGACTTCTATCGGGACTTCTGCCGACTATGCCACGGCATAGTGAAGTTGATCCCGACGCTCGCCTGGGACAAGCTCGACAACATGGTCCGCAAGGCCGCATCCGAGCTGACCCAGCTGCCTCCCTTCGAGGGGGCTACAGAAATTGGCAAGGATTTGGACTTGATCAGGGCCAAGCTGGCCGTCGAGAGGGAGCGTTTGAGCAAGGACCCACAGCCACCATCTTCTCGCTCGAGATGGAGGACCGGTGGGAAGCAGTCTGCTCATCACAAGTTCCGGTTTGACGACTTGACCCCACCCGACGACTTCCGCATGATATCCGTCTACCCGACGGTGGAGGACATCTCTGAGCCAGGGCAGCCGTACCTAAGGCGCGCTCTACCGCGTGGGCCTTACCGGGACGCCAACCACTACCTGGACGTGCACTTCCGTTTGCTGAGGGAGGATTTTGTGCGTCCACTGCGCGAGGGCATCGTGGAGTACTGCAAGAAGATGGCGGAGATGCCGCCAGACAGGTAAAATGGCCTAGGGGTCGTCCACATAT